GCCTCACATGGAATACTGTTCCCATCTCTGGGCCAGAGCACCTCAGTGCCAGCTCTTTCCACTTAACTTCATCCAGCGCAGAGCGGCTCGTATCGTCGACGACCGAGTCCGTTTATGCCAAATATGGGCATTTGAAATTTGCATCCAATAACGCTTGTCTCGGCGCGTCATCCGTTGGTATTGTGGTGTGCTAAACGCCACCGGGGGGGGGGGGGCTTCCTGGCATTTGGCCGTGTGGGCCGGCAACAGTGTCTTGAACGCCGCGGTCTTGTCGACTAGTATTGTTTGCGACCATTAGTAGGTTGCGCGCAGTTGCTTTTCAGCCGTTTTAGAATAATTATCCATAGGCCATTGGGCCCCGTCCTCTGTTGCTCGTCGAGGGGCCCTGGGCCCTGGTCCAGTCGACCTTTGTCGGGGAAACTAAGGGCGTGAACATCGCTGGTAGCAGAGCGTGGTTGATTGGTTCTCCAATCACGCCCGGCCGTAATAAATATTTTTTGTGTTTTGTTAGCGGATCGGAGCGGTAGGTAGATTTAGGAACCACGCCCGTTAGGTTGCGCAAGCGGGAGTGTACTTTAGGGTTAGGTACCCACGCGTCAGGTATTTCGGGTAGGTAGATAATTATCGTTATCACATAATCGTATAATTATCGTTATCGTATAATTATAGCAGATTAATTGCCGAAGGGTCGGTCGCCAGAGCGAGGCATCTTTGCTGACTGACTGTAGTGTGTATTTGTATTTGTAGTGTAATTTGTATTTAATTTAATAAATAGTAATTTGTATTTGTAGTAATTTGTATTGAATTTAATTTGATAGTAATTTGTATTTAGTAGACCTTATTCCGTTTGCCTCAAAATACCGCCCCAATGTGGGCAAGCCGGAGGGTCGAACCTCCACTGGATGCCCTTCCTGGACATCGCAGCACCTAAATAAATCCTGTTGCTGGACAGAAATTCGACGATCTCTTTCAAATATCTATCCGTGCCCCTTATAATTCGTTCCGCAATCAGACCGGATCAGGTCCGCAAATCGCGACGCGATACGAAGTGGCTCAGAGTGGCCACAAAGGCTTCAGTGCTGAGGGCACTTACAAGTTCTAAATGAATGGCCTTAGTGGAGAGGCACCCGAAAACTCACAGATAGGCCTTAGTATGATTTGGTTCACGCAAGTAGACACAATCAGAGTCCTTTCCGATCGGCTCGACTTATTGGCGCTGCGAAGAGATGTTGCAACTCTTTGCACATCGCGGCAGAACTCCCGATACTATCCACACCATCTGGATGGTTGGCGGTCCACCACTGTGCGATTTAGAAGATGTTTTCTTCCTCGTACAACTTCCTTGTGGAATAGTTTACCACCAGCGATTTTTCCGGACCGATACGACAGAAAAGAGCCTACTCCTTTTTAAAAGGCCGGCAACGCATCTACAATTCCCCTGGTGTTGCGGTTGTTCATGGGCGGCGGTAGTCACTTACCATCAGGTGAGCCGCATGCTCGTTTGCCCCCTCTCCTATAAAAAAAAACAGCAGCAACGACCACACGGCACAAGGCACAAATACGTAGTCATCTCTCAGGGACTCATATTTGCGCCACTTACTCAGTTCAGCTGCCTTCGATGCCGCCACTAGCCGACCAATGTCATACCGTCGGGTCTCTTGCCGTCGTCTCTAATTATTTCACAAGGCTCTAAAACCGAGGGAACATTTATATAGAGCCCTTCGGATGATATCGTTCAAAGAACTGTGTTCAAAGATCCGTGAAAACCTACCAGCACTTTTCTTACATGAAAGTCCGTGGAGCCCAAACTTGTTGACGCTGTGACTACAGGGTCACTGATAGGGTTGACAAATCGCCGCTTCTAGTCGGATTCCTACGGCGATACTCAAGCTTTACCCATCAAGTAATGTGGTTACTTGGTGGTAAAGCATGTAATCAGTAACTAGATTCTTTAGTCGAAACAGCTAGAATGCGTGCCTTACCTTGGTCACTATTGAAATTATGAAACAAAACTTTCTGCAGGTTGAGTATCAACGGAAAAATCCCACTGTTTTTGTTAGTTAATTGCCAGTGGAATATTTTCGCCGTAACAGAGCTTTCGCCATTTCTGCCCTGCCTTCGTCACAAAGCACAGGTCTACTTTATTATTTAATATACGAGTATGTATCACTAATCATTACGCCAGGCCACGCAGATAAATCATTTCGGGAGCGTTTTTTCTTCTGATTTGCTCAACAAAAATATTTAAGGCTAGCTGAGAGATGTAGCCTAATGCTAGATAATCTATACAATTTTTCATGAATTTGGCTATAATGTACAAAAATCATTTTTCAAATTGGACTAGTAGTTCCAGAGATTAGCGTGTTTAAAAAAACAAAAAAATTTCTTCCGCTTTATTATTTTAGTATAGACAAATATAATCTTTATCTAATGAATGAATCGACAATCGATGAGGAAGCAAGGTTATTGAGTGGCCGCCTCGTACCGGTAGGTGAAGTGTAACGTAGCCCCCCACTAGATGGAGTGGACTACCTGGTAAAACATACATCAATGGATGCATGGCTCAGGCCCGTTCATTGTGTCATTCCTTGAGGGAGGCATATGTTCAGCAATGAACTTGTGAAGGGCTATAATGATGATGATGATGATGATGATATTTACTTCTAAATGTATATTATGAAATCATTATGTTTACTATGTATTGATTTCAATAAAACATAATTATATCCATGTCTTATCAGGACCCGAGCGAGCCGGGCAGCTCGGTGATCGTGGTGCGGTCGGTGGTTGCGGGCGGCGCGGCGGCGGCTGACGGCCGCCTGGCGCCCGGCGACCGCCTCGTCTCTGTCAACGGGCAGGACGTCGCGCGCGCGCCGCTCGCACAGGCCGTCCAAGCCATCAAGAGCGCGCCAAAAGGTGAGACCTGTGTGCGCGTGCAGCGTGTTCGTGTGTGTGGGTCACACCGCCTGGCGGCCGGCGCCCGGCGACCGCCTCGTCTCTGTCAACGGGCAGGACGTCGCGCGCGCGCCGCTCGCACAGGCCGTCCAAGCCATCAAGAGCGCGCCAAAAGGTGAGACCTGTGTGCGCGTGCAGCGTGTTCGTGTGTGTGGGTCACACCGCCTGGCGGCCGGCGCCCGGCGACCGCCTCGTCTCTGTCAACGGGCAGGACGTCGCGCGCGCGCCGCTCGCACAGGCCGTCCAAGCCATCAAGAGCGCGCCAAAAGGTGAGACCTGTGTGCGCGTGCAGCGTGTTCGTGTGTGTGGGTCACACCGCCTGGCGGCCGGCGCCCGGCGACCGCCTCGTCTCTGTCAACGGGCAGGACGTCGCGCGCGCGCCGCTCGCACAGGCCGTCCAAGCCATCAAGAGCGCGCCAAAAGGTGAGACCTGTGTGCGCGTGCAGCGTGTTCGTGTGTGTGGGTCACACCGCCTGGCGGCCGGCGCCCGGCGACCGCCTCGTCTCTGTCAACGGGCAGGACGTCGCGCGCGCGCCGCTCGCACAGGCCGTCCAAGCCATCAAGAGCGCGCCAAAAGGTGAGACCTGTGTGCGCGTGCAGCGTGTTCGTGTGTGTGGGTCACACCGCCTGGCGGCCGGCGCCCGGCGACCGCCTCGTCTCTGTCAACGGGCAGGACGTCGCGCGCGCGCCGCTCGCACAGGCCGTCCAAGCCATCAAGAGCGCGCCAAAAGGTGAGACCTGTGTGCGCGTGCAGCGTGTTCGTGTGTGTGGGTCACACCGCCTGGCGGCCGGCGCCCGGCGACCGCCTCGTCTCTGTCAACGGGCAGGACGTCGCGCGCGCGCCGCTCGCACAGGCCGTCCAAGCCATCAAGAGCGCGCCAAAAGGTGAGACCTGTGTGCGCGTGCAGCGTGTTCGTGTGTGTGGGTCACACCGCCTGGCGGCCGGCGCCCGGCGACCGCCTCGTCTCTGTCAACGGGCAGGACGTCGCGCGCGCGCCGCTCGCACAGGCCGTCCAAGCCATCAAGAGCGCGCCAAAAGGTGAGACCTGTGTGCGCGTGCAGCGTGTTCGTGTGTGTGGGTCACACCGCCTGGCGGCCGGCGCCCGGCGACCGCCTCGTCTCTGTCAACGGGCAGGACGTCGCGCGCGCGCCGCTCGCACAGGCCGTCCAAGCCATCAAGAGCGCGCCAAAAGGTGAGACCTGTGTGCGCGTGCAGCGTGTTCGTGTGTGTGGGTCACACCGCCTGGCGGCCGGCGCCCGGCGACCGCCTCGTCTCTGTCAACGGGCAGGACGTCGCGCGCGCGCCGCTCGCACAGGCCGTCCAAGCCATCAAGAGCGCGCCAAAAGGTGAGACCTGTGTGCGCGTGCAGCGTGTTCGTGTGTGTGGGTCACACCGCCTGGCGGCCGGCGCCCGGCGACCGCCTCGTCTCTGTCAACGGGCAGGACGTCGCGCGCGCGCCGCTCGCACAGGCCGTCCAAGCCATCAAGAGCGCGCCAAAAGGTGAGACCTGTGTGCGCGTGCAGCGTGTTCGTGTGTGTGGGTCACACCGCCTGGCGGCCGGCGCCCGGCGACCGCCTCGTCTCTGTCAACGGGCAGGACGTCGCGCGCGCGCCGCTCGCACAGGCCGTCCAAGCCATCAAGAGCGCGCCAAAAGGTGAGACCTGTGTGCGCGTGCAGCGTGTTCGTGTGTGTGGGTCACACCGCCTGGCGGCCGGCGCCCGGCGACCGCCTCGTCTCTGTCAACGGGCAGGACGTCGCGCGCGCGCCGCTCGCACAGGCCGTCCAAGCCATCAAGAGCGCGCCAAAAGGTGAGACCTGTGTGCGCGTGCAGCGTGTTCGTGTGTGTGGGTCACACCGCCTGGCGGCCGGCGCCCGGCGACCGCCTCGTCTCTGTCAACGGGCAGGACGTCGCGCGCGCGCCGCTCGCACAGGCCGTCCAAGCCATCAAGAGCGCGCCAAAAGGTGAGACCTGTGTGCGCGTGCAGCGTGTTCGTGTGTGTGGGTCACACCGCCTGGCGGCCGGCGCCCGGCGACCGCCTCGTCTCTGTCAACGGGCAGGACGTCGCGCGCGCGCCGCTCGCACAGGCCGTCCAAGCCATCAAGAGCGCGCCAAAAGGTGAGACCTGTGTGCGCGTGCAGCGTGTTCGTGTGTGTGGGTCACACCGCCTGGCGGCCGGCGCCCGGCGACCGCCTCGTCTCTGTCAACGGGCAGGACGTCGCGCGCGCGCCGCTCGCACAGGCCGTCCAAGCCATCAAGAGCGCGCCAAAAGGTGAGACCTGTGTGCGCGTGCAGCGTGTTCGTGTGTGTGGGTCACACCGCCTGGCGGCCGGCGCCCGGCGACCGCCTCGTCTCTGTCAACAGGCAGGACCACTCCATACTAAAATTTATGTTTTTTTTTAAATATAAACCAATTAGTGAAATTATTACTTTATTATGAAATAGTAGCAACTTGAAGTTACAAAACAGTCTCAATTGCTCCATACAAATTGGTATTTTACGCGTCGTCTTGCTTTCTGTAATCTTAATTCTTGGGAAAAAGTTATAGCAAACCTTATGTATAATGTGCAGGAACGGAATTTTGATTAGCCATAGTTTTTAAAAAAAATGCTATAATTTACTATTTCATATCCCTGCTCAAATTTGGTTTTTAAAAGCTTTGCTCCGAATGTTTCTTGACAAGCTCTAAATCCATTTACTTTAAAAAAATATACGTTTAAACTTTTTCCGGCTAATTATTTGCTTTTAAAATGATTACCCAACACACGCAAAATTTGATTCGTTAAGCAATATGATGCCTAGTTGGTTTTTCACTACTCCATCTCCATTTATGTCCATTGTTCATTCCTTTTACAAAAATAACACTTTTAGGTATGAATTTCATATATTTTTAATAACTTCATTAATAGAAAATAAAGTTATGTAAGGAATTTCGTCAAAATATACCAATACATTAAATGAATGGGGAAAATCGTAATACGCTAGTCCGATTAATTAGTAGTGGACGATACTAAACTAAAATACACGAAAGCTAAAACATGTAGATAAACATAAGCATAATTATTTAAGAAAGAAACCTCCCTTGAGTGCCCTAGCACCCCGTGTGGGGTTTTAGGAGTAGACATCCGGAGTGAGTTTAAGAAACCGACAGGTTCAGACTATTATATTTTAACCAATTACTGGACTCTGTTTATTTTCGCCCGCGCAATTGCTCCAATACGTTTGGCACGTTTCATAATTATTTCTTTGATTTATAAGTATTACTAAATAGAAATTATTTTAACCAATTACTGGACTCTGTTTATTTTCGCCCGCGCAATTGCTCCAATACGTTTGGCACGTTTCATAATTATTTCTTTGATTTATAAGTATTACTAAATAGAAATTATTTTAACCAATTACTGGACTCTGTTTATTTTCGCCCGCGCAATTGCTCCAATACGTTTGGCACGTTTCATAATTATTTCTTTGATTTATAAGTATTACTAAATAGAAATTATTTTAACCAATTACTGGACTCTGTTTATTTTCGCCCGCGCAATTGCTCCAATACGTTTGGCACGTTTCATAATTATTTCTTTGATTTATAAGTATTACTAAATAGAAATTATTTTAACCAATTACTGGACTCTGTTTATTTTCGCCCGCGCAATTGCTCCAATACGTTTGGCACGTTTCATAATTATTTCTTTGATTTATAAGTATTACTAAATAGAAATTATTTTAACCAATTACTGGACTCTGTTTATTTTCGCCCGCGCAATTGCTCCAATACGTTTGGCACGTTTCATAATTATTTCTTTGATTTATAAGTATTACTAAATAGAAATTATTTTAACCAATTACTGGACTCTGTTTATTTTCGCCCGCGCAATTGCTCCAATACGTTTGGCACGTTTCATAATTATTTCTTTGATTTATAAGTATTACTAAATAGAAATTATTTTAACCAATTACTGGACTCTGTTTATTTTCGCCCGCGCAATTGCTCCAATACGTTTGGCACGTTTCATAATTATTTCTTTGATTTATAAGTATTACTAAATAGAAATTATTTTAACCAATTACTGGACTCTGTTTATTTTCGCCCGCGCAATTGCTCCAATACGTTTGGCACGTTTCATAATTATTTCTTTGATTTATAAGTATTACTAAATAGAAATTATTTTAACCAATTACTGGACTCTGTTTATTTTCGCCCGCGCAATTGCTCCAATACGTTTGGCACGTTTCATAATTATTTCTTTGATTTATAAGTATTACTAAATAGAAATTATTTTAACCAATTACTGGACTCTGTTTATTTTCGCCCGCGCAATTGCTCCAATACGTTTGGCACGTTTCATAATTATTTCTTTGATTTTTAAGTATTACTAAATAGAAATTATTTTAACCAATTACTGGACTCTGTTTATTTTCGCCCGCGCAATTGCTCCAATACGTTTGGCACGTTTCATAATTATTTCTTTGATTTATAAGTATTACTAAATAGAAATTATTTTAACCAATTACTGGACTCTGTTTATTTTCGCCCGCGCAATTGCTCCAATACGTTTGGCACGTTTCATAATTATTTCTTTGATTTATAAGTATTACTAAATAGAAATTATTTTAACCAATTACTGGACTCTGTTTATTTTCGCCCGCGCAATTGCTCCAATACGTTTGGCACGTTTCATAATTATTTCTTTGATTTATAAGTATTACTAAATAGAAATTATTTTAACCAATTACTGGACTCTGTTTATTTTCGCCCGCGCAATTGCTCCAATACGTTTGGCACGTTTCATAATTATTTCTTTGATTTATAAGTATTACTAAATAGAAATTATTTTAACCAATTACTGGACTCTGTTTATTTTCGCCCGCGCAATTGCTCCAATACGTTTGGCACGTTTCATAATTATTTCTTTGATTTATAAGTATTACTAAATAGAAATTATTTTAACCAATTACTGGACTCTGTTTATTTTCGCCCGCGCAATTGCTCCAATACGTTTGGTACGTTTCATAATTATTTCTTTGATTTATAAGTATTACTAAATAGAAATTATTTTAACCAATTACTGGACTCTGTTTATTTTCGCCCGCGCAATTGCTCCAATACGTTTGGCACGTTTCATAATTATTTCTTTGATTTATAAGTATTACTAAATAGAAATTATTTTAACCAATTACTGGACTCTGTTTATTTTCGCCCGCGCAATTGCTCCAATACGTTTGGCACGTTTCATAATTATTTCTTTGATTTATAAGTATTACTAAATAGAAATTATTTTAACCAATTACTGGACTCTGTTTATTTTCGCCCGCGCAATTGCTCCAATACGTTTGGCACGTTTCATAATTATTTCTTTGATTTTTAAGTATTACTAAATAGAAATTATTTTAACCAATTACTGGACTCTGTTTATTTTCGCCCGCGCAATTGCTCCAATACGTTTGGCACGTTTCATAATTATTTCTTTGATTTATAAGTATTACTAAATAGAAATTATTTTAACCAATTACTGGACTCTGTTTATTTTCGCCCGCGCAATTGCTCCAATACGTTTGGCACGTTTCATAATTATTTCTTTGATTTATAAGTATTACTAAATAGAAATTATTTTAACCAATTACTGGACTCTGTTTATTTTCGCCCGCGCAATTGCTCCAATACGTTTGGCACGTTTCATAATTATTTCTTTGATTTATAAGTATTACTAAATAGAAATTATTTTAACCAATTACTGGACTCTGTTTATTTTCGCCCGCGCAATTGCTCCAATACGTTTGGCACGTTTCATAATTATTTCTTTGATTTATAAGTATTACTAAATAGAAATTATTTTAACCAATTACTGGACTCTGTTTATTTTCGCCCGCGCAATTGCTCCAATACGTTTGGCACGTTTCATAATTATTTCTTTGATTTTTAAGTATTACTAAATAGAAATTATTTTAACCAATTACTGGACTCTGTTTATTTTCGCCCGCGCAATTGCTCCAATACGTTTGGCACGTTTCATAATTATTTCTTTGATTTATAAGTATTACTAAATAGAAATTATTTTAACCAATTACTGGACTCTGTTTATTTTCGCCCGCGCAATTGCTCCAATACGTTTGGCACGTTTCATAATTATTTCTTTGATTTATAAGTATTACTAAATAGAAATTATTTTAACCAATTACTGGACTCTGTTTATTTTCGCCCGCGCAATTGCTCCAATACGTTTGGCACGTTTCATAATTATTTCTTTGATTTATAAGTATTACTAAATAGAAATTATTTTAACCAATTACTGGACTCTGTTTATTTTCGCCCGCGCAATTGCTCCAATACGTTTGGCACGTTTCATAATTATTTCTTTGATTTATAAGTATTACTAAATAGAAATTATTTTAACCAATTACTGGACTCTGTTTATTTTCGCCCGCGCAATTGCTCCAATACGTTTGGCACGTTTCATAATTATTTCTTTGATTTATAAGTATTACTAAATAGAAATTATTTTAACCAATTACTGGACTCTGTTTATTTTCGCCCGCGCAATTGCTCCAATACGTTTGGTACGTTTCATAATTATTTCTTTGATTTATAAGTATTACTAAATAGAAATTATTTTAACCAATTACTGGACTCTGTTTATTTTCGCCCGCGCAATTGCTCCAATACGTTTGGCACGTTTCATAATTATTTCTTTGATTTATAAGTATTACTAAATAGAAATTATTTTAACCAATTACTGGACTCTGTTTATTTTCGCCCGCGCAATTGCTCCAATACGTTTGGCACGTTTCATAATTATTTCTTTGATTTATAAGTATTACTAAATAGAAATTATTTTAACCAATTACTGGACTCTGTTTATTTTCGCCCGCGCAATTGCTCCAATACGTTTGGCACGTTTCATAATTATTTCTTTGATTTATAAGTATTACTAAATAGAAATTATTTTAACCAATTACTGGACTCTGTTTATTTTCGCCCGCGCAATTGCTCCAATACGTTTGGCACGTTTCATAATTATTTCTTTGATTTATAAGTATTACTAAATAGAAATTATTTTAACCAATTACTGGACTCTGTTTATTTTCGCCCGCGCAATTGCTCCAATACGTTTGGCACGTTTCATAATTATTTCTTTGATTTATAAGTATTACTAAATAGAAATTATTTTAACCAATTACTGGACTCTGTTTATTTTCGTCCGCGCAATTGCTCCAATACGTTTGGCACGTTTTATAATTATTTCTTTGATTTATAAGTATTACTAAATAGAAATT